AATGAAGAAAAGGAAATCTATGTACTTTGAGATAAAATTGGAGATATTTTAAATTGTTAAAATTCTCCAAACTCTTGATAGTGTCCAGAACTTTTCTCATAATCCCAATAGAAAATTTATTGTGTGTTATTGCCATTTAATTAGGACTGGTTTCCTCCATCCCTGAATTTCAATAAATAAAGGTATTGTTTTTAGGATTATCTTTTACTTTTTGTGTTGCTGTATTATGATTTTATATTCCTGCTAATTGTTCATTTGCTGTATTTTAACTGTATTAGATCTTCAATGGCTCTTGTGAAGTGACCTGTAAATGAACATTTCTATAGGTAAATGTATTTAATGTCCAAAGCAATTAACTGATTTACAGACAACATAAACATAATTGAAATATAATTAGGTCATAAATGAGGAAACTCATTGTAATTGACTTGAAGACACTTAGTGTGATCTGAAATCTGAACAATGAAATCATAAGCAAGCTTAGATTCATCTTGCTTGCCCTGCATTTTCCTCTATAGTGAGATTAGACTGTAGATAGAGCGAAGGAAATATGGTTAAAGAGATGCTGGTATGTGCTTCAGGTGGGAATGATTGTGATGGTTGAGGGCAGCTGAATGAGACCACCAAGTATCTTTTTTTTTTTCTGTAGGAGGAAAAGCTATATAACAAGGAAATAAAATACTGCTTATATCAACTCAACCTGGCTTGTATGTTTAAGAGAGGGAGAGAGACAAAATGTTTTTAGAGAGAATTGATGCTGATCTGTAAACAAGTTCATCAAGGTGAATATCCATACAGGAGCATGGGATTCCCTACAATGAGAGCTAAGTCAATAAGGGGAGCTTTCTGGAAACTATGTAGCTATGTTGATATTTCTATGGATATAAGGTGGATTGGAGAGGTTAGAAGAAACAGGTTAACATGCATAGAGAATTTGAGGGTGCAAAGAACTTTGGGGGGAATCAAGATGGTGGAGGAGTGAGTGGAAGTCACACTGACCTCCTCTCAGGACCAACCTGGAATTACAGCAAAACTGGGGAGAAGTCACCTGGAACAAACAACTGAACAATACGAGAGAGGAGCCTTGTAACATCGGAGACAGAAGAATCAGCGTTAGCACAATCTAACTGGTAAGGAGTACGATAGAGACTGAGAACATGGGCGAGGCGCCCACGGGCGACAGCACCAGAAGGATATAGAAACAGCCAGTTCGATGCCCCCTGAGAAGAGTGGGGTCTAAACCAAAAGTGGGGATCTCTAGCCTACAGCACCAGAGCCCAAAACGTACATGGAAAAAAGCCAGCTGCGAAAAGTGGCAGGGTTGCTTTCTGCCAGAGACAGGCAGCTAGAGGTGCAAAGAACTGTCTAAAGGGCCAACGCATAAATTTTTATTTGCAGCCACTTACCCTGGTCTCCAACAAAGGCAGGGGCAGAGTGGGCTAGAGACACCTGAGGAGAGACTGGGGAAGGAGGTTTTGGGGAGAAAACTGAGAGCATAGCCGGCAGGATCTCGGAGCTGACTCATCCCCCATGAGGCAGCACCCATCTTGGTCTGGCAGAGACAACGCCCTCTAAGCGGCACCAGTGTCAAAGTACCCAATAGCCCCACACCCAGGTGGGATTCGACCCTGCCCTTTGCTGTCTAAGCTGCCTGCTGAGTGCAGAGTGGCAGCCACAGATAGTAGATCCCTAGCTAAAGGGGGCGTACAGAGGTCTCGAGACACTTAAGGAGAGACTGGAGACAGAAGCTTTCGGGAGAGAACTGACAGAGTAGCTGGCGGTATCCCAGTGTGGACTCCTCCCCCAAATGGCTGCAGCTAGAGAGAACCCAATAACCTCGCCCCCAGGAGGGACTGCACCCCGCCCTGAGCTGTCTAAGGTGCCCTGCTGAGGGCAGAGTGAAAAGATTAACAGCTGAAGGAGAAAGTCACAAACAGTAGATTACCAGAAGTCTTGAACAGACTGCCTAAGGTCAGACAGGGACGACATCCAACATCATCAGAGGCAGATCCAGAAAGTAAAAACAGCAGTCTCCAACCATAGAAGTTCACACCACAAAGTCAGGAAATCAAGGCATTTCAACATAAGAATCAGAAGCAAAAAAAAAAAGAGCCGCACAAATAATGGGAAGACAAAGAATTATGCCCCACTCGAAAGGAAAGGAAGAATCCCCATAGTGAGAAATAAATGAAATAGAGGCAAGTAAACTATCAGATACTGAGTTCCAAACAATGGTTTTAAGGAAGCTCAATGAGCTCAGTGAGCTCAGAGAAAATTATGAAAAACTACAGGGAAAGTATGAGGAACTTACTGCAAACTATATCAGCATGAAAAAGGACATAAAAACCATCAGTAAGAGACAAGAGGAAATGAAGAATACAACTTCTGAATGGAAGAACGCAGTAGAAGGAATCAAAAGCAAGCTAGATGAAGCTGAGGATCAAATCAGCGAGCTGGAGGACAAGGTAGAAGAAAGCTCCCAGAAAGAGCAAGAAAATGAAGAAAGACTCAAAAAGAATGAAGAGGCATTGAGGGAAATGCAGGACAACCTGAAACGTAATAATATCCGGATAATAGGGATACCAGAAGGAGAAGAGGATGAAGAAGGGGTAGAGAACCTGTTTGAAAAAGTCATGATGGAAAACTTCCCTAATTGGAGGAGAGAGAAAGGCGCACAAGTCCAGGAAGCACAGAGGGTCCCATTCAAGAGGAACCCAATGAGGCCCACTCCAAGACACATTATCATTAAAATGGCAAGTATCAATGACAAACAGAGAATCCTAAAGGCAGCAAGAGAGAAAGAGGTAGTAACATATAAGGGCGCCCCGATACAGCTAGCATCTGACTTCTCAACAGAAACCCTGCAAGCCAGAAGGGAATGGCAAGAAATATTCCAAGTCATGAAAAGCAAAGGCCTGCAACCAAGACTGCTCTACCCAGCTAGGCTCTCCACTAAAATGGAAGGCTAAATAAGGAGTTCCCCAGAGACAAAAGAAGGCTGAAAGAATACACCTCCACGAAACCAGCAATGCAAAATATGCTAAAGGGACAGCTTTAAGATGAGGAAAATGTTTCTATGAATACCCAGTTCCTTTCAGAGTTGCCAATACTTGATATTACCAATATTTTTAATACTCCTTAATCTGATTGTGACAGTGATGTTATTTTACTTGTTCCTTTACTCTTTGTTGCAAATAAACCTGTTTTATTATATTTCTTGCATATTTCTATTTTTTTAAAAAAAGCTTTAAATGACTCTTTGGTATTTTTTATCCATTAATTGATTAAAGGTTTGTAGAGTTTTTTTACCCTAAAAAAACAAATAGACAAAAAAGAAAAAAACATATTAACCATGTTTTAAGTGTGTTGCAAATACTGTTCTATTCCTTGTCTTTTAACATTTTTATATGTATATTACTATATTGTTAAATATTTAATATGGTCATATTATAAATATTTACTTTATAGCTTCTGGGTTTGAATATTTTACTTCAAGTCATGAAAAATATTAGTTCTATTTTCTTCTAAAACTCTTTAGATTCTACATATTGGTTTTTAACTCACATGAATATTTCTTGTATAATGTGTTAAATAGGGTTCTACATTTGTTTTATTTCAAGTAATAGTGGTCCATGCACCTTGTTTGTTGAATAAGCCTTATTTTACCCATTGATTTGAAATATCATCTTAATCATATATTACATTGTCAGACAGATATATATGTTTGTCTCTAGAATGCTCATTATATTTCATTGGTCTACTTGATTATTCCTGTGCAGGTGTCATGTTGGTTTAATTGCTGAGACTTTGTAATTGTTTTAAATATTTTTAATAATTTTGGAATACTACGCAGCAGAAAGGAAAAAAAAACTACTAAACTTCATGACAGCATGGATGGAACTGGAGAGCATTATGCTAAGCGAAATAAGCCAGGAGGCGAAAGACAAATACCATATGATCTCACCTATAAGTGGAACCTAACCAACAATACAAAGATGCAAGGAAAATAAGACCAGCAACACTGAAAGGAAAAGAAATCAACAGAGACAAGAGGGAAGGAGGGAGGGGGGGGTGGGGAAAAGGAAGGGAAGGGGAAAGTCAAGGAACATATAGCAAGGACTCATGGACAAAACCAAAGGGGAAGAGCTGATGGAGGGAAGGAGGGAGGGGGCAAGGGAAAGTAGTGGGGGGTAGGCAGAGAGAAATGTATTTGAAAAAATAAATTAAAAAATATAATAAAAATTGTTTTAAAAAATTTATAATTAACTTCGACATTTAAAAATAAATAAAATCAATCTGCATTTAAGAAAGAAAGAAAGAAAGAGAGATGGAACTCCTACCTTTTGCGACAACATGAATGGAAGTGGAGAATATTAAGCTAAGTGAAATAAGCCAGTTGGTTAAAGACAAATACCATATGATCTCACCTGTAAGTGGACTCTATTCAACAAAATAAACTAACCAACTAAATAAACCACAGGCACAGAGACATGGAGCAAACTGAAAGTGACCAGAGGGGAGGGAGAAAGAAGACAATGGTGGAAAGAAGGAGAAGGAAGTAGACAAAGAACATGTATGAATGACCTATGGACATGGACAACAGAGTGGGAATTAACTGTGGGAGTGGGGGGTGGGGGTGGGATGGGTGGAGGAGGGTAAAGGGGTAAAAACTGAGACAACTGTAATAGAATAAACATGATTTATAAATTAAAAAATAAAATTAAAGAAGAAAATAAAATAAAATAATAAAACTAAAAAAAAACAGAATTTGAGGGGAGAGTGCAGCTTATATTACTGGGGATAAGTCTGGACTATCTTGATGAACAGAATATATAAATGAGAATGTTGTCAAAATACTGACTTCTCAGTATCTAGTAAGTCCTGAGAAATAATGTTCATAAAAATATAAACATGTGTAACCAAGGGTAAATGGCATATTGTATATGTGGATAGTAGGTTAGATCTTATTTTAAATTGTCTTTCTGTTGTCTGTTTTCCAGATATGGATCAACTCATAAACAACTTGGAGGTCCAGCTTAATTCAGAAGGTGGCTCCATGCATGTATTCAAACAGGTCAGTTATCAGGGAAAAGAGATGCTAATATTGTGCCATAATAGTGTTGAGTACCTCGTAATCATTATCAAGCTGAAGATCATTTTTCTTTCTAACAGCATGTTGAGGACTGAGGAGAGGTGAAGAAAAGATTTCCAAAAAGTACAAGATTCCTCGGATTTCAGATTCAAATAGTAGATCTGGTCTAAAAAGAAACAACCTCTGGGATCAAGTCAATAGGAGCAAGATGAAACACTTGGTATAGAACAGCAACTATTTATCTAGCACTATTTCATATTTCAGGCACTCTGAAGATTAAATGCATTGTCTTATTAATCTTCACAATAACTCTGATAGTGTGTTTGTCAGGATTCTTAGAGAGGCAGAACCAATATACTGTGTATGTTTCAATATTTCCCTCTCTTGATAAATAGATAAAGAGCTATAGATATATATCTGTATATTTAAAACAGAATTATATCTATATATTTATCATCTATCATCTACCTATCTATCATCATCATCATCTATCATCTATCATCACATATTTATCTAATGGGAGACAGATTTTAAGGAACTGGCTCACATGATTGTAGAATCCTGGTGAATCCAAAATCTAATGGGTAGGGCCTGACTGGTGTGACTCAGTGGGTTGGGTGTCCTCCTGCAAACCAAAAAAAATTGTCCTTCTAATTCCTGATCAGAGCACATGCCTGGGTTGTGGGCCAGGTTCCCAGTTGGGGGCATGTGAGTAGCAACCAATTGATGTTTCTCTTGTACATTGATGTTTTTCTCCCTCTCTTCCTCCCTCCCTTCCCCTCTCTCTAAAAATAAGTAAGTAAAATCTTTTTAAAAATCTAATGGGTAGGCTGAACTACCAAAGCAAAGTTGCAGTTTGAGTTCACAGGCAATCTGCTGGAAGAATTCTTTCTTGCTTAAAGGAGGTCAGTCTTTATTTATTAAGGCCTTCAAATGATTGGTTGAAGCCAACACATATTATGAAGGGTGATCTGCTTTACTCAAAGTCTGATGCTTTAAATATTAATGTTACCCTCCAAAATAGTTTCACTGAAACACTCAGAATAATATTTGACCAAATATTTTGGCACTGTGGTCCAGGCAAGTTGACATATAAAATTAACCATCACAGATGGGTATTCTTTTTTGGGAGGGGTACAGTGAACTTTATTGATAGTGCATGACAAGGTAGGGCTCCCTAGGCCCCCTCCCCACTCTTCAGGGGGTCTAGGATGGAAACTGGAGGTCAGGAGATTCTCAGTGTGTTGGGGGTCGATTTGGAGCAAGGACTCCCTAGCAGTTGAAGGTCTCTCTTGCTATCACTGGGGCCAATGGTCCTGGGGGTTCTTATTCCTTGGAGGCCATGTGGACCATAAAGTCCACCTCCCTGTTGCTGTAGTCAAATTCCTTGTCATACAAGGAAATGATCTTGACAAAATGGTCATTGAGGGCAAAGTCAGCCCTGGCATCAAAGGTAGAGGAGAGGGTGTCACTGTTGCAGGAGACAACCTGGTCCTCAGTACAGCCCAGGATGCCCTTGAGGGGACCCTCTGTTGCCTGCTTCACTACCTTCTCTTTTTTATAGATTATATTTATAGAGAGGGGAAGGGAGGGAGAAAGAGGAGAGAAACATCAGTGTGTGGTTGCACCTTGCGTGCCCCCTACCGGGGACCCGGCCTGTAATCCAGGCATGTGCCTTGCACTGGGAATCGAACTGGTGACCCTTTGATTCAAAGGCCAGCACTCAATCCACTGAGCCACACCAGCCAGGGCTCACTACCTTCTTGATATCATCATATTTGGCAGCTTTCTCCAGGTGACAGGTCAGATCCACATCCAACACACTGAGGGTGGGGACATGGGAGGCCATGCCAGTGAGCTTCCCATTCAGCTCAGGGATGACCTCGCTCACAGCCATGGCAGCACTAGTAGAAGGTGGGAAGGTGTTCTGGGCAGCCCCTTGGCCACCATGCCACAGCTTCCTAGAGGGGACATCCACAGTTTTCTGGGTTGCAGTGATTACATGCACTGTGGTCATGAGTCCCTCTATGATACCAAAGGTGTCATGGATGACCTTGGCCAGGGGTGCCAAGCAGTGGGTATCACAGGAAGCATTGCTGACAATCTTCAGGGAGTTTGTCATACTTGCCATGGTTCACACCCATCACAAACACAGGGGAATCCACAGAAGGGGCAGTGATGATGACCCTCTTGGCTCCACCTTTCAAGTGAGCCCCAGCCTTCTCCATGGTAGTGAAGACACCAGTGGACTCCACAACATATTCAGCACCAGCATCACCACATTTGATATCGGTGGGATCTTACTCCTGGAAGATAGAGATGGACTTTCCATGGATGACAAACTTCCTCTTTTCAGCCTTGACTGTGCCTTTGAATTTGCCATGAGTAGAATCATACTGGAACATGTAGACCATGTAGTTGAGGTCAGTGAAAGGATCACTGATGGCGACAACATCCAGTTTGCCAGAGTAAAAAGCAGCCCTGGTGACCGCACACCCAGTGGCCAAATATGTTTACTCCAACCTTCACCATCGTGTTTCAGGGTTGAGGGTGGCACCGTGCAGGAAGATGTGGCTGTCTGTTAAACAGGAGAAACAGAGAGCCACAGATAGGTATTCTTAATGTTCCAATTTTACAGATAAGAAAATTGTGAACTTGGACACTCCCAGCACAATGATTCAAAACGGATTATATTTTCTACAGCCAAGTGCTCTGTGTTAGATGAAGTCCCATTTTGCTCAGGGTTGAGTTCTAAAGTCATTGCATAAGTAAAACCCAGATACAGTAAAAAATACCCTTGAAAATCTCTTAAATCCTTATAAAATTAAGTATATAGTTTTGTATATCCAATACAGATTCTTTTTTTATTTTTAAGTCACCAGATAAAGTATCTGGCTTACATTAGGAGCCATATTTTACCAAAAAATGTTTTTAATCATTAAATATTTTGCCCTTGATGTACAATTGAATTTGTTCAAGTTGCATGTGCACATGATAAGATGCCTTTGTACTGTTTTAATGAAATTAAACCCAATTTAATGTCTTGTTTTCCCTATTTGTGGCTGCTACCATTTAGGGACTATTAGCACATCAAACTTGCTAATTGTTGCAACATATCTGCTGTTTGCTTGTTCCGAGTCATAGTTAATACTAAAAGGAGGCTGAGTGTAAGTGTTAGATAAAAATCTATTGGACATGTAATTTAAAAATACTGAGTGAAATGTTGTCAAGCATGCATAGCTACTTTGTTTTCAAATCTCTGTACACCTATGTACAGTTCCAAAAATGTTTTTCGATGTGTGGTTTACATTTACTAAAGTTCCAGAATTTGAAACACTTTGAAATTGGTTCAACGTGTAGAAATTCTGGATAGTAGATGATATAAGCAATTGTATTTTGTTTCTTGCCATTTCCAAGATACCTTGGTTTTAGTAAAGCAAAGTTGCTTGTGGTATATGGTCACAGAACACTGGCCATTCCCCAGGATACAAAGACCCAGAGCTTGTATTCTGTAACAATACAATGCTGGCAACATTCTAGTGGCCAAAAGCCTCCTGGTTTGGTTCATTATATGACTGGTTTATGTCGTGAGGTTAGCTTGGTAGGTGGCTCTCTAGCTTAGTACCCACATGCTGCTTCCCCTTCTTTGATTTCTTACATCACCATACCATACATAGAACGAATGAGCACTTGGTTGTCATCTACCCTTTGTTCCTAGTTTCTAAAAGTACAATTTCTTGGACCAAGTGTATGAGCAGCTTTAGGGTTCATGTTGTACAGTATGTGTCTTCCCCCTTCCAATTTATTATTCTTAATATATATTTTGATATATATTCTTACATTCTCATTCTCTCTCTTCCTCTCTCTCTTTCATTCTTTACTTTGGAAAGTAATTTGCACCAAGAAACTTCACCCCTAAATAATTCAGTTTGCTTCACCTACAGCCAATGATTTTCTCCTACATCAGCACTATTACAACCAAGAACATTAACAATATCTCTATAATAGTAAATACTTGGGTCATACATTTCTAAAAGGTTCTTACTGACACTTTCCCATGCCTGACACATGCTTCAACCAGTCTAATTTACCAAATCCCACACTTTCCTCAGAGCCCAAGTTCCAATTCCATTTCTTTCATAAAATTTTCACTGATAGCCCCAATTCTCACTAATCTCTAGTACAATTGGGCTCCTGTAATGCTTGATTATCTGTATCAGTCATTCATGTCGTTCTGCTTATTATGTGTTCTCTAATTGTCAACTGTTTCATGTAAATATCTCTTGTTTTCACACAGTGATATTCTGTATTTCCCAAACTGTAGTTAGGTATCACTTTCACAATTTTTGCCATATCCTTATCATCAGTATTAGTTAAATATTTTTTTCTTTTTTTTTAACTTAATTTTTTTTAAATTTATTTACTTTTAAAATACATTTGTCTCTGCCTCCCCCCCACCTCTTTCCCTTGCCCCCTCCCACCTTCCCTCCCTCAGCTCTTCCCCTTTGGTTTTGTCCATGAGTCCTTGCTATATGTCCCTTGACTTTCCCCTTCCCTTCCCTTTCCCTGCCCCCCCTTCCCTCTTGTCTCTGTTGATTTCTTTTCCTTTCAGTGTTGCTGGTCATATTTTCCTTGCATCTTTGCATTGTTGGTTAGGTTCCGCTTATAGGTGAGATCATATGGTATTTGTCTTTCGCCTCCTGGCTTATTTCGCTTAGCATGATGCTCTCCAGTTCCATCCATGCTGTCGCAAAGTTTAGTACTTCTTTTTTTCTTTCTGCTGCGTAGTATTTTATTGTGTATATGTACCATAATTTTTTGATCCAATCATCTACTGATGGGCATTTAGGTTGCTTCCAAGACTTGGCTATTGTAAATTGTGCTGCTATGAACATTGGGGTGCATAGGTTCTTTTGTATTGGCGTTTTGGTGTTCTCAGGGTATAGTCCCAGCAGGAGAATCGCTGGATCAAAAGGCAGTTC